GTCTTAGCTTTCATAATTCATATAAACACAAATTCACCTTTGTCCATAAATATCCCAAGCTAGCAATCGCTGCCAAGTTTTTTTTTCTTGAGTGTATCGGAAAGAAAGAAAGAAAGAAAGAAAGAAAGAAAGAAAAGGCAAGTGCCTGTGTGTATGGTCAAGGGAGAAGCTGGGTGGGGGAGTGAGATTATGCATTCGGTTGAGAGGACCGGAAGGTGCTGGGAAGAGGAGATAAACCCGTTCAGTCAGTTACACAAGATGTACGAGTGATCAGTGAAAACTAAAATTAATTTCATAAGTCAAGCAAAAGTTCGCACACGCACGCGCGCACACACATACACATATATATATATACAGAGTACAATGGATAAATTCTCGCCATTTTATATTTTTAATTCCGCGCATGCGCGTTGTTTGTTTTTTTTTTAGTTTGTCGACTGCACCGTATAGTAGGGTCAGTTGGGCACCGTCCGGGAGAAAATAACACCCATGATGCAATTCACTCTGCCGGATTTTTAGAAACGGCATGCTGTACTGCTTGGCATTCACACCGGAAGCTTTAATACGAACCTTTCAAAGTGTCCGAGTGTTTTGACAGTGTAGAGCGTTCGAAAGAGTTGGATGAGTCTAATAGTGATTACGAGGGTACGGCAGCTCGGAAAACTCTCTCTGATCGATCTGATAAGGTAAGAAAAGAACTCCCGAATTTGTTGGTAAGGTGCTCAGACTCAAAACAGGGGCCTACATCAAGTGCCTTGAGGAGGTAGCGCCAATATGGATCAAGAGGTTGGATGCTGGAAGATTTTATGTCTGGCAACAGGACGAAACGGCCGTCCAGTGCTTTTTGCATTCTGTTGAGGATTCTTCTAGACTCGATGAATTACTTAATTATGATTATTCAAAATCCAAATAAGTTCTATCACATATATATATATATATATATATATATATATATATATATATATATATATATATATTGTATTTTATTATACCGGGTGTAAAAGCAAAAAAAACCCTAATCATCATTCATTAATCTTCATACCTATTGTGATGGAGGCCCAATGAAGACCCTCACCGCAGGAGCTAGTTTCAATGCCGCCCGAAAAGCTAGTTAATAATAAATTCCCCAACCATATAACAACTAAAAGATTAAATTAACATAAAAAAAATGAAAGCAATTTATAATTCAAATAAAAATAAGTTAAAAAATACGTTTAAGCTATTCTACGATAATTAACGATACAACAACACGAGGAAAAAATAATTAGAAATTTGACAGATGACCCTGCTAAGAACATTGTCTGCCGAAAGGTACTAACTTGAAGGAGTGAAGTGTTTTCAGAAATTCTGGAGACCTTCGACTACATCAGGTATGTGTGTGTCTGATTAAATAAATTATAAACATTATGTCTGCTTCTTTTTAGTATAATCCTTTCATATTCCCGAATATTTTTCAGTGTATTACAATCAAGTGAGGCAAGAAATGCATTTGATTGTAATAAACGAGAAGATATTCGTGAATATAAAAGGATTATACTAAAAATAAGCATGTTTGTAATTTATTTAATCAGGCATGCCTAAGAGAGAATTTGCTGCCTAAATACACACACACACACACACACACACACACACACACACACACACACACACACACACACATATATATATATATATATATATATATATTAAATAAGATTTTTGTCGTACAGAATTTATTAATAGCTAGGAAAAGGCCAATTTTATAAGGCATTTTAAAAGAAAAAGCTAAAAACAAAAACAAAACAAAACAAAAAAAAAACAACCTGCTTTGTCTCAGGACTTATCAAGTTTATTTTTTTGAGAATAGAAAATTTAAAAAGCGTGTAAATTAATTTAACGTGTGGAATGGAATGGAAGAGAAAAAGAATTTCAAGAAAGCATGAGTCCAATAACATTCAGACCCAGTGAGTATTCCCTCTGTTTACAAAGGGAAGGCCCACGGGATCTGATATACAAGACCTCTAGAATCTTGAGGTGAAATGTGGAGTGGGACCTAGATAAAATCAAAAAACGCTCCGCACTAAAATTAATCATACATTTCCTACTATTTATTATATGCTCATCAATAGCTTATCAATGTTTTTTTTCCGATCTATATATATATATATATATATATATATATATATATAGCATATCGTTATTCAAGCATGTTTGGTTGAATAGTCCAGATATATTACGTCTATTTATTTTATTTTAATCCTGTCAAATTCACGCTCAATTCCTTAGTGTTGTTACAAAATTTGTTAAGAAAGACGCCGTAGTTTTGGTTATTTCGTTTATGTTTCTAATTACTTTCATTCTCATCCAAGATCACACACACACACACGCGCATGTTACCCCCCCCCCCATATATATATATATATATATATATATATATATATATATATATATATATATATATAATTTTCAAAAGAGGAAACTATTTATATGTGGTATATATATCTTTCAAAAGAGGAGCTATTTATATGTGGTATGTATTATATAGTTTTCTACATATATAGGTCTATTGTTTTCTGTATTCATCTCAGAGGAAACTGGCATGGCTCTATGCTGGGAGGGGGGGGGAGTACCACGGACTGATTGGCATTGGCAGTCTTGGACACTCCCAAGTATCTCTATGTGTTGTTTATTTTCAAAGCCTACGAGTATTGTTTGTTAAAAAAGTACAGATTTTATAGTTAGATTTTATGTATCTATATCTATAATTCTCAAAATCTGTGTGTCCGTATGTGTGTTTGTGATCGGATGTTATTTATGCATTTCCACAGTTTTTATCCGATTTCGATGAAATTTTTTTTGTTTTAAATAATTCTTCAGTGCCGGTTCAACTTGTTGACGACAATGGCTCTCCACTACTTCCTGTCTATTATAACTCTCAGCAACGTTTTACTATTTACTATCTGTTCTTGGATATATATATATATATATATATATATTATTGGGGACCCTGTAGCAGGTAGTACACTAGGTCTCTGTATTCGCCCCTTCAAAAGGTGTGGATGGTCCTGCACGAAACCTTCACCACTATAATCAAATCTCATGTGCTGGTGTTGGGCTGTCGGTTTCCTAGGAACTGATCTGCTTGACCCTCATACGTCGAATTCGACAGGAGAGAGATATATATATATATATATATATATATATATATATATATATATATATATATATAAATATGATAAAATATTAAACACTAATATTCCAAATGAGTGTTTAAGCCTTTTATTATATCCTTACTCTGTCCTGGACATTGAGTTCTACCTGGATTCTATCCTCTTGGAATTTTTTTTCAAAAAATATATATGTATGTGTATTTATATATTTTGCATATGTATATATTTACCACTAATATTATCAATATATATATATATCTATATCTATCTATCTATCTATCTATCTATATCTATCTATCTATCTATATATATATATATATATATATATATATTTATATAAAAAATTTAATAAAAATAAATAGTTTAAATTATTATAATAATATTATTTATTATTATACAGTTCCTTTTTCAGGGCCCTCCCCATCATTCAAATTGTTTACCCCCCCGGCAATTTGGGGATGTGCCTCATATTTCATATTGATGTTGTCATTAATATTGATTTTCAATTTTTGATTGTTTTTGATCTTAAAAACTGCTCCAATTGTATATAAAAAATGCCCAGTAATTAAATATATATATAAAGATATATTATATATAGTTTATATATATGCCTGTATAAATATATATATAAATTTAATATTTGATGCCTAAGTATCTCATTCTATATATATGTTGAGTTTTTAATGATTTTCTTCTTTTTGCATATAAATTTACATATATATATATATATATATATATATATATATATATATATAATAAAAAGTTTATTGTTTAAACATTCTATTATTATCGGTCCGTGGTCAATTTAATTCTGCTGGCCCCTCTAGTACGTATAATTGAGTATTTGGCCAACAATTGCCCTTTTTATACAATTTTCGTTAAAAATGTCTGACAAGGTACTAGAGTTGAGGTTTTTATTTAATTTTTTCTTTGGTACTTATAATTTTCTTCTGAATTGGACAGAAATTATGTAGAAATTGGAGGTTTTGAGTAGCCTGGAACAAGCTCTTAGTTGTCGATGTTCTCATTCCTGCAAGATGGAGTTTATCGTCATGACCAGCACTGAAACTGCGGCCAAACGGTTTGCCAATGAGAACAGCAGTAATCAATAAGTCCAAATCATTTCAGAGGACTATCTGAAACGGTATAGTTTATCGTCATAAAAGAATTAAATCCATCTGATTAAAAATCTGTTCTAAATTGAAAAAAATACATTGAAATGTTCGTATTTCTAAATGCCAAGCAGTACAGCATGCTGTTTCCAAATTCCTGGCAGAGTGTATAACTATCAAGATGATCTTTTTTTCACAAGACGGTGCCGAACAACCCTATTTTTATTGTAAAGTCAACAAAATCAAAAAAAAATTATTTTTAAAATCCTTTCAATTTAATCTCTCTCTCTCTCTATTTTTGCTTATATATATATATATATATATGTTTTTTTTATTTCAATTTCATTACCAATCCCAAAAATTTTTTTGAGATATGAACAGTGAACAGACTTTAGCTAATAAATTTAGATAGATAGATATTAACAGAATGTATATATATTTATATATATTATATATTCATATACATATATATATATATATATATATATATATGTTATTTTTGAGACAGACTGTTTCCCAAAAATCAGTGTATATATAGATTTTTCCAGCATACTAGCTAGGATCGAAACCCGACTTTAATTGGTATCAGTTTTCATCTTGTTCTTTTGATAATTAATTCCGCTATTTATCAAAAAAAAGGATGAAATTAATTTAAATTATTTATTTTTAGATAAAAACACAGTGACTGAGAATATTATTCGATTTACCGAAAAAAGTCTTGCATTATTATTTTATAATA